AACCTATTAGAAAAATGGGAACAATAGCAGGTGATAAGAGCTGCTGATGAATCCTAACACTCTGGGTGGGGATAAGGGGAGGGGGCGCCAGGGCTCTGTCTTTGGAGAAAGGAGTGTCAGTGTGGAGAGATAAGAAAGCCCTGGGTTGCTAATTAATAACCCAGCATTTTCCAGGGAGAGAGGGAGGCCAGGAGCCATTACCCCTGCCAGACAGTTTCACTGAAGGTGATGAGCGGTTCCTGCCCTTGTGGGCCTGAGGTCTCTTGGCTGCCTTGCCCCATGGTCTGGTGTCCCCCTTCCCTGTCTCAGAGGGCCCAGTTTTGGGTCCATTCTGTATTATTTGCCATCAAAAAAAGCAACACATGAAGAAAAATAGCTTACATTTGGGGAGCACTTACCACGTACCAGGAACTATGCCCAAAGTCTTAGTTCATTTAATATTCATAATGACTCCATAAAGTAGGAATCCTTAGAATCCCCAACAAATCAAAGAGGAAACCAAAGTCTGGAGAATGTTAAGTAACTTGCTCAAGGTCACACAATTAGAAATGTGGATGGATGCGCTCTGTGGTCATTCTGGTGCTGGTGCTCACCTGAGCTACCCGCCCAGGATCTGAACACGAAGTGAAGTCTACGTCCCCCGCCAGGGGTAGAAGCCACATGCCCCTGCGCAATGCCAGGTCACTGGGTGTGTATCCAAAGCATGGCTGCACAGCTCTTTGCTCTCCCAGAGGCTGCTGGGTAATTGACCAATATGATTTCCCAAACCGGGTGCCCATGGAATATTGGATTCTTCTGACACGTGAATAAAGATGTTTCACACCTAATGTTGAGTAATGGACTAGACTTCTTTCTTCCAAATTTCCAAGAGAACTTTGCAAAACCATAGCATGTTCTCTCAATTGTTGATTTTTCTTTCATGATTTTCTTTTCACTCCTTTGGAGCTCATGCCTGTTCACCAGATGGCTGGTGATGGTAACAACGAAACTGGATGAGTAGCAAGCAAATGAGTATTGACAGAAAAACTCGGAGATGAGAGATCTTTAATATAGTACATATTATGTCTTGACATGTAGCTATATATAAAATACTTACATTTTTTCTGCTAGTAAGGTCATTCCTCATTTGTAATGACAAAGTTAAAGCTCTCTCTGTTAGTGTTCGTGGCTTGCAGATGTTCTGCCAATGAAACTTTTCCAAATGAGGGGATATTCAAAACTAGACTAGGCAGAACTAAGTGATTCTAATAGAAACAGCTAATATTTATCTTATTTTTTACTACATTCCAGGCACTGTCCTGGCACTTTTGATCTCACTGAAACCTCACAATGACCCTAGAAGGTAGATACTATTATTATACCCATATCACAGATGAGGAAACTGAGGCTTGAGAGATTAAGTAGCTTGCCAAAGTCACACAGTTTAAAGTCAGTGGAGATGAACATTGAAGGAGCCCAGTCTGACCCCAGGGCACTGATTCTTTCTCTCCAGGCTGAGGAGGAAATAAAGAAGGAAGAAGAGAGGGAGGAAGAACACAAAGATTTGGGAAGGGCTTTCTCCCTTACCAGAGGGTTGCCTCTCTCTTGCCACGAAGCTAGTGCATGATAGCAGTATGAAATATGAAGAGTACTGGATCAGGACGCAAAAGGCGACTGAGTTGCCCATCAAAATTCTATCTACCTCATAGTGTCGAGGTTCAAACAAGACGAGTGGGAAAAAGGCTTTGAGGGCGACTCATGCACCTGTGATTTAGAAAAGGGCAACGTGTCCTGGTCGGTTGGTCCCAGCAGGCCTGAGGTAGGAAGGCACACATCGTAGCTGATCTAGCAGAGCCCTGAGACCATACAGGAGCCTATCCTGCCCAGCCTCAGTGGACGTTTAACCAGGCTATGCGGGCTGGCTGCGTTCAAGGCTGCATATAGTGATTTTACAGGGGCTAAATCCTGTACAGTCACCTTTGCCCTGGCCTAATTCTGCTCTTTACCAGCCTTGCTCACTGCCTTGCGTTCCCCAGTGGGGGTGAATCCACTCAGCAACAGGACCCAAATCTCCGTGTAATGCCTGTGGGAGAGATGTCCTGGAAAGGGATTCTCCAGGCAGAGGAAGGGCCACTTGGTCTTACATAACCAGTATTGAGCGCTGAGTGCTGATTCCCAATAATCCATACCTCTGCCTGCCTTAATCTCAGCTCTGAGGGAACGACAGCGGGGGGCCGGTGGGGGGGCACGTGCACAAGCATTCAAAATAGCAGCCACAGCAAGGAAAACTGATTCCCTCCACCCGCCCCCTCCCCCACCTCTCTTTTCATTTATGAATTCAGTTTTTTGTCAGGCTGAACATTTAAATGCACTCTATGCTCTCTGGATTCCCCCCGTTTCTCCCCCTTCCTCATTAAAATTCTAATTATTACCACAGCAAGTAAGATGTATGATCAAAGGAAAGCAAAGCCTTAGAAATACCTTTTTGTTTTAAGGTGACTCATATTGTAGAGAATGCATCCAGAACAGCTGTAACCGAGAGCAGATGTGAAGGGTCTAGAGATGGCTGGATACTTAGAATAAGGACTATCTGTGGTAGCTTTCCTCGTGAACCCCAGGGCTATAAGGGCCTACAGAAACAGTCTCCAAACCATTTAGATAATGAACTCGTAACAGCACAAATTATTTGATTTAATGCCTCCAATATATATCTGTTCCCATGTTACATACACATGTGGGTTGTATCTCCGTTTCATGGCTTACCAGCCGTGTGACCCCGGGGAATCTCGTCCTCTGTGCCTCACCTTCATCTGCAAAATGAAAATAATAATCACACCTATCTCCCTGGAGAGTATTAAATGAGCGAATGCATAAAGAGCACTTTGTACCTTGGACCTCGTAATGTTCAAAACTTAACTAAGTCCAGAAATAAAATGCTATCATTTCTATTACTATCACCCAGTATATTGCAACTCTCATTTACTGTTTTTAAGATAATAAATAAATATGAAAGCGATCTGATATGTTTTCTCTTGTGCCCCCAGAATGCACTCATACCACACTAGAGACCTTTAGTTTAGAAGTGAACTTAGAATTGGCTTTCCAGATCCCTAGCAGTCCCTGGGTGAAGGACTAATCCCACCCAGCTCCTTTGGCCGGGGAGAAGCTCCGTTGTCTCTGTGCAGGGGCCTAGGATTGCTGTGGGTGGCTGTGATAGTTGATCCAAGCCAGGACCCTACAGCCAGGGAGTCAGAAGGCAGTGCCAGCTCCCCAGAGAAGGTAGCTGACGTTCTCACCTCCAGAAGGTTCCTCTGGACGGGAGACAGCTTTCTCTGGTGCCTGTGTGCTATGAGAGTACTCTGGATTCCCCCCAGGCGGGACTTGGCATCTCACTACTACAAGCCTAGCTTAGCCCCTGGTACCTGCAGGTGCTCAGTAAATGCTGGTTGAGAGATAATTATAGCTCTCTTATGTGCCATTCATTCATTCATTCACCTCATTCACTCATTCATTCTCATGTGCCAGTTTCTGTGCTAGGCCCTGAGTCAGACAAATATAAAAACGCAGGGTTACAATAGCCATCAGTTTAATCAGGAACAAACAGACTATAGGACAGTGGAAGGAGCCCCAGCCTGGGTGGTGGACATCTGGACCCTGGTCCGACCTGTGACCCCAGGAAGTCCCTTCTCTGGACCACTGTTCTTGTCTGCAGAAGCACAGCCTGGCTTCAGTACTTGTAGGGTCATTTCTCACCTTAAATCTGAAGATTCCTGGGACATGGGCCACGATAATCCAGAGCCTGCAAACCCCCAGGCCTGCAGGGGCCACGAAGGTAATAGGGAGACTGGTGAGGACACACCCCTCCAAAGGGAGCACAGAAGTCCAGGTCCAGTTACTGAGTCATCTGGCCTCCTCCAGACTTTCCAGGAATTTGGTGTGATGATGATGATGGTGATGGAATTTCTCAACTTTTCCATTGTCACCCTAGGCATGCAAGACTCCTCTGCGGGCTTGACCTTAGTGTACACCCCACCACGTGTGCCGTTGGTTTGGAGGCTTCTGACCTCTCAGAGGGAGAAGAGGCTTTGGGCCCTAAGGGTCATTCCAAAAGGGGTTGGGGTGGGAGATCTGCTAAATCGTTTCTTCCAGAGGGAGGCATCCCCCACAGCTCTCCTGGGATCGCAGGCATCCTGCTGGGGGGCAGGGGTGGGCTGGAGACGAGGCAGTGAGCCCCCGCCTTGAGCCAACCACAACATTCAAAAATACCAGCTTTACAGAAAAGCTCTCAACTGGCCACAGGAATGGGAAAAGCCAGCTACAAGAATCACTTGTATGTAGCTTGGAAATAAATTGTGTGGGTCCAATTCCAACTTCATCCCAGTATCTACTGAGCCTACTGCGTGCAGAGTTGAGAGTCCAGAAGGAGCCTGAGACCTAACCTCTGCCTCTCATTCACTTCAAGTCATCTCGTGACCGTTGAGCTCCCGCTCTGGGCTCCATGGGGGGTTGGGTCCGGGAAGAGATGGAGTTGGCCAAGCCTCTGGTCCCCAAGGCCACACAGCCTGTTGAGGAAGAGAGCTGTATACAAAAAAATGACTCTGCTCTAAGTCTGGCCATAGTAACAGCTCTAATAGAAATTCAAACAGCATCCAAATGTGAACGCTTCACGAATTTGCACATTTGCTTAGGCTGCTATTTAAATTACTTTCCCTTCCCGGTGCACTTGCCGACAGGCAGTCGGGGAGGCAGCCCAGGTGCTCCCCAGGCTGGCAGTGGGGGAGCGGGGTGGGAGTGGGGGGACCGGCGGAGGCTAGCGCCCGGCTGCAGACATTTCACAAAGTGGACTGCGGAGCGCCACCCCCAAAACCACCTCTCCTCTGGCGGGTAGCTTTCTCATGAGCGTTCTTTTCTCTTCTCCCGTCTTTGTCCCTTCTGTGTGCCCCCTCTGCCGACACCCTCTCCTGCTTCTGCCCACCTCTGTCTGTCTCTGTCCCTCCCTGCCTGGCTCACGCCGAGGGCAGGCACCTCTGTCAGCCTCCTCGCAGCCGTAGTGATTGTGTGTGGCGTGGCCCTGGTGGCAGTTTTTCTCTTTCTCTTTTGGAAGCTGTGCTGGATGCCCTGGAGGAGCAAGGAGGCCTCCAGTCCCGCTTCTGCTAACCCTCCCCCGGACGCCCTCCAGAGCCCGGGCTCCAGAGGCAACATGGCAGACAAGCTGAAGGACACCAACACGCTGGGCTTCCTAGAGGCGGCTGTGAAGATCAGCCACACGTCCCCAGATATCCCGGCCGAGGTGCAGATGTCAGTCAAGGAGCATATCATGCGTCACACGCGGCTGCAGCGACAGACCACAGAGCCAGCATCATCTACCAGGTGAGGGTGGACCTCTCCCTTCCCTCCCCGCCACGCCTCCACATTCTCTTACTCAAGACATTAAGAGATTCCAGCCCGTGAGGAGCAGAGGACAGAAATAATAACTCATGTCTTCTGATTGGAGAATATAACAGATGATGTGCTCCGTGGTGGGGTAACCAACCAGGAGGTGGCCTGGGGAGGGGAAAGGCCTCAGGAGAGGGGAACCTTGGAGGTGGGGCGCTGTGCTCCATGGTGTGCACTGGGATGCGCGTGGGTGGGAGGTGTTGGGTGTTTGGAGAGAAGGAGAGATTGCAGGCAGAGGGCTGAGAATATGCAAAGGCCCAGAGGCATACAAGTTCATGGTGTGTCTAGGGGTCTGCCAGTAAAGCCTTGTCAATAGCGTCGGCCGTGCATGGGATATAAGACAAGAGGTTCCTAATATTTTGAGGAATGAGGATTCCTTTATAACCTTTGACAGAGTCCCCTGAAGGACAGCAGTTGTATACATGGCATTCTTTAACGGAGAAAACCAAAAACAACTCCCACCGCATAATAACAAACAACCTACTCTAAATTCAGACACAGAAGTGGTGCATTCACTTGTATTTATTCAAACCTAGGGCTCTTGTGGGCTCCTGGGTCCCTGCAATGTCTCCCCAGGCTCCCGGGGAACCAGCCGAAGGGAAGGAGACCAGGTCTTCAGCTGGGAGTCCAGGAAGGAACGTGCTGGAGGTCACATTTTCAGAGTTTATCATATGACCTCGGGCAAGTTGCTCACCTTTCCTAGGACTCGCTTTTCCCCGACTGTAAAATAGGGCTGGTGACTCATCAGGTAGCTGTGAGGAGCCAAGGAAGGAATCCATCAGAGCTGGATTCTTTGACAATCCAGAGTTGACGATGTATCACTTAACTATACACCTGGCCCTGTTCTAAGTGCTTTTTATGTGTATGAATCCGGTTCCTCCTCACAGCAATCCTATGCAATTGCTACTTTTATTATCCTCATTTTGTAATGCAGAGAAGTTAAATAACTTGACCAAGGTCACATAGCCAGACAGTGGCAGAGCCAACATTAACCTCCGCAGTCTGGCTCCCAAGCCCAATAAATGTTTAACTACAGTGTCGGTGGTAGAGCTGGTGATGATGATGAAGGGATAGCCACAGCCAGGGGGAGAAAGGATGGTCCTTCTCCTAAGGGATCTCATGGTTTCATGGGGGAACTAGAGTCACATCTACAAGGAAAAAAACCCAGAAAGCAGGGGGGGAAATGGCAGCAAAGGCTACCATGAATTGACCTTAGTATATACCGGGCCCCATTCCAACTCCTTTCCGTAAACTTGTAATGCTCACAATCACCCGTGCACCAAGTGTGTGCAGATGGAGAGAGGGTCGGCGAGCAGGAGGAAAAGGGCCCTGCAAAGTGTAGGATAAGCCAGGGCAGCAGGGAGGTGTCGGCCTGCACACCCCACCCGCCCCCCGGGGCCCTGACCACGCTGTCCCCGACCCCCGCCAGGCACACGTCCTTCAAGCGCCACCTGCCACGGCAGATGCACGTCTCCAGCGTGGACTACGGCAACGAGCTGCCGCCGGCGGCAGAACAGCCCACCAGCATTGGCCGAATCAAGCCTGAACTCTACAAGCAGAAGTCGGTGGATGGGGACGATGCCAAGTCGGAGGCCGCCAAGAGCTGCGGGAAAATCAACTTCAGCCTGCGCTACGACTACGAGAGCGAGACCTTGATCGTGCGCATCCTGAAGGCCTTCGACCTCCCTGCCAAGGACTTCTGTGGCAGCTCTGACCCCTACGTCAAGATCTACCTCCTGCCTGATCGCAAGTGCAAGCTGCAGACCCGGGTGCACCGCAAGACGCTGAACCCCACCTTCGATGAGAATTTCCACTTCCCAGTGCCCTACGAGGAGCTGGCCGAGCGCAAGCTACATCTCAGTGTCTTCGACTTCGACCGCTTCTCCCGCCATGACATGATCGGAGAGGTCATCCTGGACAACCTCTTCGAGGCCTCCGACCTGTCCCGGGAAACCTCCATCTGGAAGGACATCCAGTATGCCACCAGTGTGAGTACAGCCTTGCCTCCTGGGCTTCTTGAGGATTCCTAGGGCCGGGTTGAGTGGGGTGTGGCCCTATCCTCCTCCGCCCTAGAGACAAGTGGGCCTTTGCCCTTCAGGATGTGAAGGGGGACTCTGGGAACTGAGCAGTGGCTCAGCCCACCCTGGGGAAGTCCTTGCACGCTGCCCCAGGTTGGGGTGTGGGTTGGCATGGAAGAGAATTTTTGCCCATTGCTTCTGATTACATGTTCTGGGGTGGTTCCCTCCACCTGCTCGGCCTTAGGTCTACCACCTATAAAGTAATGTTATCTATCTCTTTGATCATGGGTGAGGATTGGGCCAGGTCTCTAGACTGAATCAGACAGCAGCATCTGCCAAGTGCACTGATGTGTGCTAGAAGCCTGGAAAGAGCAATCAAGAACAGGGCATGTTAATCAGGACGAATGAGGTTAAGTTGCAGCAACAAATAGTCCTAGGATTTGGTAGCTTAGAGCAACCAAGATCTAGTTCTTGTTCATGCTATCCATACTTTGCAGCTTGGCTGGGGTTCTACCTTACCTTGTGACCCAGGGGTCTGAGCCGACAGAGGCTTCGTTTGGACATGTGCTCCCATAGTTACCACATCAGGAGAAAGAGGATGTGGCAAGTCATGCACTATTTCTTAAAGCTTCCACAGTGAAGGGATATTTGTTACTTCTACTTGTGTTTCGTTAGCCAAAGCAAGACACATGGCAACTTAGGAGGGCAGGGCAAAGAAATCCTACCGTATGCCCAGAAGGAGAACTGGAAACACTTAATGACCAACACGAGTGACTACCACACAGCCCCTTCTCTGAGGCACTGCCTGCCCAGGGCAGCCTGGAAGGATACCTGACTAATCCACACATGGGACAGGAGGTGCTTGGCTGTTCACGATCAACTGCAATTAACCAGGGAAGGTTTTAAGGAGCTGAGGCTCGAGCTGGCTTTTCAGGAGGAAGACAGGTTTGGCACAGAGAATTAAGAGGACATTTCCAGAGCCCTTTGGTCCAGTGTAGATCCCACAGGTGTGGGTGTATACCTCTCTCTAAGCCCATCCAGGCAGCTAAGAGCCCAGCATGGGTGTTCCCATCAGACACCAACGGCCTTGTGTCTGGGGTCTTGAGTGCTAACTGGTTGAGTCTCCCCGGATATTACTTGCACTGTTTCTCTGGGGTGGGGATGACCCCACTCAGTCTGCAGGCCCTCCCTTTCAACAATTCTCAATATTTCTGTGTTGAATTTGTGAGGAGAGAGGCCAGGAAAATCATCCCCCCCTGCTCTGATGGGGAAAGTGTAAGAAACTTGATTTGTTCAAAGCTTGGCGGGCTCCGTTTCGGCCCCAGGGTGGGTCTCGGGGACACCCCATTCTCCGAGCTGGTCCTGACTTTGACCAGTTCAGTCTGATGTCCCAGTGCCTCTCTGACCTTTGCTTCCACGAAATCCCCAAGAATAGGACCAGCAGCGAGACCAGGCAGATGGGGCGGGATGGCGCAGCAGCTGAGCGCCAGCCCAGGCCCAAGAGCTCTGCTCTATAAATCACTGTGAAGTTTACATCTGCTGCAGCTCTTCCCTGGTGCTCTCCTCAGGCAGCAGCTTCATTATGGTGACTGCACAGGTAGAGAAGAGCAGCTCGGTCCTCCCCACGTGGAGGTCAAGGCCCAGGGGCTCCAAGAGCGGAAGGGGTGAGGCCAGGGGCTGGGGAAACAGCTTGACTCAGACTCTGAGGACTCCCCTCCCTCTCCTGCGACCTTAGCTGCGGGCACCATGGAAGACCCAAGCCTGGATTGGACAGTCCGTGCCTAAGTGCGCTCCTCACAGGGAGGCGAGCTTCCTATGTGCTAGAACGCTGTGGCTGTCCCTGTCCTCGTCCCATCCCCCTTCCTCAGCCCAGCTTCTAGACTGAATCAGACAGCTGCGATAAAAGACAGCTTCCTTGATCCACAGAAAATTAGAATCTAATTCCAGAGACAAGAGAAGTCCATGCAGGTGCTAGTAATGCTAAATAGTGAATAGTGTGCACTGTGTGAGGTTGCTATTGAGAGTTAGGGCAGCCCTGGAATTTTCCCCGGATGGGGAAGATAAGTGGGGAGGGGTATATATAGCGTGACAGAAGAAGGGCTAGCATCCTAACTGGGAGCACAGGGAGGCCAGGCCCGGGAGTTTCTGAAGCCGAAGAGCAGGTGACTGTGCTCACACACCCCATCTTGCTTGCAGTCTGTCTGAGCTGATGTTCTGCCAACGGGAGGCCCCTGGGGCCCTCCAGTCCGCAGCTCTGCTGGTGGGTTGGCTCTCAGGAGTAAGCTCATCGTCCTGGTGGGCGAGGAATCAGGCAAAGGAGGGGAAAGGGAAATAAGGTGGGTGCTTTTACCTGTTTTTTTGGCACTGACTCTGAAATTATACTTATTTGGGGGCCAGAGAGGCCCAAGTCATAGTCCCTGGGAATGACAAGCAGTGAGTGCATGTGAAATCCTGCGGCCAGCGTGGTGGGGGTGGTAGGGATGAGCACAGGGGCTCCCATCTGTCCTCGTGCTGGATTCCATTCCTAGAGCTGCATTTGGGCCCCACTCCGCTTGGAACTCTGGCAGCTCCGCTGTCCTGCAGGCTGGTCCCCCAAGCGTGCCCAACATTCTTGCCTCCTGCCTTTGCTCACAGGGTTCCCCCTGTCACGCATGCCTTTCTGCACTGCTCTGCCTGGCCCAAACCAATCCCCCTTTCAAAGTTCCCTAAGCCTTTCTGCTCTTACAGAAATCGCTCCTCTGGATTTATTCCTGTGTCTCTCAATAATACCCCGAATCATCTTTAGTCTTGCAAAGTCCTCCCAATGGCTCAGGAATGCCTTTTGTCCCACATTTGACTTTCTCTTGTGTTTTTCCTCCATGCTGAGTGTGTCATTATAAACAAACATAAGAACTCAACACATTTTTGTAGAACGACCAACGGCTTAGTTAATTCAATTAAAACTATATATGGATACACAAAGAAAGAATTATTAAAGAAGCAGTGGGAATCGGGTGTGGTTATAACCTGGGCAGGGTTCCTGGAGGAGAAGGTCAAATAGTATTCTGAAAACCGGTAGAGTCAGGCTTGGTGGGGAGAAATGCAGCCTGTGCATTCCTTCAGAGATGTGGTGGCAAATTGATTGACCAGTTGGGTCGGAGAGTCCGGATTGAACTGGAGGGTCAGTGACCCACAGGCTAAGTAGAAGGAGAGGCGGGCGCTGTGAGAATCAGGGGCTTAGCAGGCGGCTTTGGGGTCGCATGAGTCCATGAATGCTGTCCCCTTGTTGGTCCTTGTGCTTGTATTGGAGCATCACATTCAGCCCTGGCAGGTGGAACCGGGTATGTCCCTTGCTTTAACTCCAGCCACATGGCTCAAGTTGGTTTGAAGTAGCAAAGCCTGGAGCATCCCTGTTGTTTTCTCACAACCCCTGAATTAGGAGCTTCAAGGCTAGTGAAGGAGAGGTGTACATCCGGGGAATCTAGCTCTTGGTTAATTGCGAATCTTAAGCCACATGGGACATTGGCCTCACGGCCTCCAGGTTGCTCTGGAGGGAAGCCTAGGGAGCAATGGAGGTAGCGTACCCCCCACCAGGCTGGAGGGTGCCAAGCAGACAACTCGGACGTGCTAGAGCCATTGGAGGCCTCTTCTGTGCCACGGAGTCGAGGAGCTCAGAGTGGGGAGGAAATCGTGGGAGTTCATTAAATCCACTCCGACCCCAGGCAGGGCTGCTTCTCACACTCCTGTTGCCCCACTCCTGCCTGGCTTGACTAACGGCCCCTGGTGGTCTCCTGGGCATTCCCAGCAGCTTGTCATTTTCCCTCCACCCAGAACTTTGATTGGCTGAAATCCCCCTGCTCTTCCCTCCCCCCGCTTCTGCCCCCAGTCCCATTATTTCTATATAAAGCTGTAGATTTATCATTATAATAGTGCCGCCCGTCACCGGGGTTTGCAAATGTCTCTGTAATCTTGTAGTTATTGCTATAGAGGCCTCAGACCCCACTGCACACAACTATTCCTGCTCCTTGGTGGCAGTGGGGAGGGAGGTGAAGGCTGTAATTGGGGCCATAAATATGTGTTGTGCTTGGTTGCGTTAATGGACTCGGCCATCTTCCTGCCTTAACAGGTCCCTGCCAGGTCAGAGTGAGCCAAGTACGGGTGTGTGTGTGTGCATGCGTGTGTTGTTTTGGGGTGCTGGTGTGTTTTATGTACTTCCAGGGACCCTGGACTCAGAGTCTGCAGGGAGGAAGAGAGGCCTGATATGGTGGACTGGTCTCCAGCCTGGGAATGAGCAGGGCTGGACAGAAAGAGCTCAGGCGTTGGTGCCCAACAGACCTGTGTTGTATTCTAGCTTCTGCTCTTTCTAGCTCTGAGACCTTGGGGACATTATCTACTCTGCCTCAGTTTCCATATCAGCAAAACAGGGACAGTAATGGGTACTATACCTCGTAGTGACAGTAAATGTAAAAAACTAAGTAACATCCATGAGATGCCTTGGTCGGCGCTGTCACAGAACAGCCCCCTGAGCCCCATTGTCACAGTGACTTTCCTTCTGGCTCAGCCTGTGGGTCACTGTGTGTACCGCTCTCAGACCTGACTCCCCCGCTTGGGTCCCGACCACCTGTTTTGGCACGTTGTTGGGTATTCTTATTAGTTTAGTTCTCGTCCTAGCCAGGCCGTATATTCTCTGTGTGACCTTGGGAAAGTGACTTGTCCTCTCTGAGCTGCAGTTTACTGAGTGTTAAACCAGCTTCAAAATTCTGAGATTCTAAGATTCTTGGCATCTCTTAAAGAGAAGTGCTTGGCTCCCTTGCTTTCAGAGCAGAGCTACCCAGTCTCTGGGAGTGTGGTCCATAGGTTAATAAGCCACGAGGCAGAATTTCCAGACATATTCTCCTCCCTTAAATGTCAGTAAGAATCAGTCCTCTCTTCCAGCGCCTGGGAAATGTCCTCTAGGGAGTTCCTGCCACAAGGAATCCCCTGCTCCCCACCAAGCTGTCTTCCTCCTTTTCCCACGAGGTGCAGTCCTTTGG